GAGAGCGTCTCTCTCTCTCTCTCTCTCTCTCTCTCTCTCTCTCTCTCTCTCTCTCTCTCACACACACACACACACACACACACACACACACACACTTCTGTATTAGAATAGTGGTCATGAACTTCCATAACCTAAGGCCAGTTTCTGGAATGGGTTCATTTAAAACATAATGAGGGCCAAATTCTGAGGGGAGAAATGAACAATCTTGAGGTGACCAGAAGCTACGCTTAACTTTTGGAGTGGTGGGAATAAAGTCTACAAAGGAAAGGGCAGTCGTGCAGAATGTGTGTGGCTGCTTTATACACCTGGCCAGGACAAACATTTTGTTTGTTTTTTCTCCTGTGGGGTGTTCTTTGTTACAGAAACTGTGTTAAGATTTTGTTTATTTATTTAACTAATTAACATATTGATTGATACCATGCCTTTCATTCAGGAACTCAAAGTGGCATACATAACACTGCCTCTTTCTAGTTTTCCTCACAGCAACCATCCTGGCTTAAACTGCCATTTTTCATACATTTTCCACCTCACATGGCAGGAAACTGAAGTCGAGTAACCTAGTTGGAAGAACTTTTAAAAATGTGTGGTTTTTACACACACACACACACACACACACACACAAAGGGTTGAGGCTGCAGGGGCCCCCAGGGCACTGGGTATCTCCCTGGTTATGGGAAAGGAATGCTCTGCAGTTTGATGGTATTATGCCTAGATATGCTAAGAATGATATTTTCATCAGTGTCCAGAGGTCAGTGGATTTTTTTGTGCGCCCCAGCAGGAAGCCTCTTCAGTCTGAGAAAACAAATTTAATTTCACACTTCCAGTTTAAATTGGGAAAGACTTTTCTTTCTGTTTCTTAACTAATGTTGGCATCTTAGACTGAGTGAAGTACGATCTCTCTCTGTCCCAATCTCTGAGCAAAGAGCTGAGGCTCTCCAGGACCCATTGGGTCACACTGAAATTGCCAAAAACAGGAGATGGGAAAGAAGCAAGGAAGTTCAAAAATTAAAGTTTCAGCCATGAAATCAGCTCTGCAGTTCAAAGCCAGTGTCAAGAAGCAGAGCGTACTTACCGTGAATGCCTTTGTTAGTGGCAGGTATCACTGGCGTCAGATTACACCTCCTGTTCAGGAAAGGGGAGGGGACCAGTACCTGCTGCTCCTCCAGCTGTGTGAAAATAAAGGACAATAACATCGGCCAGTGGTAGATTGGGGTTCTTGTTACCTCTGTCCAGCAGATGGTGCTAAAAGGGCAATATTGTATACTCTGCTACTTCACCTTTGTAATTTTGTCCTCGAAGCCACCAATTCATACACATGCAAATATGCCTTTAGGTGGAGTAGCAAAAAGTCATCCCCCGAGGTAACACCCCTTCCCAATATATTGAATGACAAATTTGCAGGTCCCTTTTGAGGCCAATGTGTTTGGCTGAGGCACTGGAGTGTATAGCTAACCTAGTTCCCATCCCAGACTGATTTTTCCATATTCCTCCATACTTTTCAGATGCAGGTCACTGAGCTCATGGCTGAGAGTCAAAGAGCAATTGCATCACGTGGAAAAACAGCTCTGCTTTGCAGCGAGCCACTCATTTGACAGATGATGACAGGGAAGGTGAAAACTTCACTTGGGATAACTGCCTTTATTAGGAAGGTCCTGACATGTGACCTTCTAGCAAGAAGAACATGTGGAACAAGTTCAAGAACAAGGGAACATGTGACCTTCTAGCAAATATTGGCTCCAATGATCATCAGCCTTATCTATCACAGCCAATAGTCAGGAACTACACTCGCCGTGGTGGAAATGTATTGGAGAACCACATGTTTCCCATATATCCTTTGCCTGCTGTTTACACAGCTCTCCTTTTGTTTTATGCAGAAATATGAAATGATCACCTGGAGAAGCTTAGGGAGAAGTGAAGAACACAGCTGCTGCTTTTCTCAACCTCCCATTGTTTCTGTCCCAACAAGATTTGTACGTTTCTCCAATTTGTACTAGGAACAGAGAGTGGCTGATAGGTGTGGTAAAATGCATGTTAACGAAAGCTGTAGTCCCTAGATAAGACTTCTAGGAGCCATCCGGATAATTATTCTTTGAACTCTATGATCTTACATTTGTCTTTACCTTGATCATGCTCATTGTCAAATAATTTTGAACATATGGTAAGTTTTCAATGTTCCTCTTGTGTTTTTTTAATCTTTCTTTCAAGAAGTTCAGTGCAGCATATGCGGTTCCACCTGCCCATCCTTGGGGTGAGAATTCTGTAATTCAAAAGCACAAGTGGACAGGCTTACAGATTCTGGTTGAAAAATAAAGTCTTTTGTTGCAACCTGAAGTACCTGCTGTACATGATGGGTGAAGCTTTTAAATATATGAAGTGGGGAAGTCCATTCTGCAGTCACCTTAGGCAAACATTTTGGTTATTTCATCATCTGTTTTCATTTGCCATTTGCTTCAGACTTTGATTTTCCTGCCAATTTAAGACCACATAAATGCCAAGGAAGGCTGAGATTAAGTCAAGTGATATAGTAATACTGTTTTTTTCAGTTAAGGTTAGAGTTGTCACCTGAATTTCAAAAATCAGGTAATACATGGATGGTATAGGTCTTAAATTTAGAAAAATGTAGATTCTAGAGTATACTTTTTTTTTTTATTATGCACATGTGTATATACCAGGAAAGTAGAGGAGCTTCCATTCACCTGTTGGATGGCATGCACCCTCCAGATGTCAAAATTACTACAGTACTGTAGTATTAAAGCAAAGCTGTTAGCCAATTGTTCTTTGCAGGATCCTTTACTGACCAAATATACCTCTAGTTTATTTTGTCAGTGTTGAGATGAGATTTATCTGCAAAATCCATTCTGATAGGTTCTTTAACATTTATATTTCCAGATAAGAGAAGCATCTGTGAGAGACAGACTTCACACATTTCACTAAGCAAAAACATAGTTTGGGATTTTAGAACAGTGGGGAGTTTGGTATGATGTATAAACTCAACTATTGTGGTTTATATGCCATGATTTATGACTTATTCTAATATGTAAATTTAGCCAATAAGGCTTATTCAACAAATCATGAGTTTAAAAAAATCATAGTTTAGTGCAATATGTAAATCTAGCCCGAGTTTAGGATTGTTAAACCTATTGACTCTATTGGCACAAGGATATTTGCATTTGTACCGGATTATGATCATACATTAGGATCAGTTTAGCAAATGCACTAACATAAAGAGCTAAGCCAGCCTTCCTAAAGCAGGCCCATTTCTTATTCTTTATAATTCAAATCTCAATATCCACAGGCAACATTGTTTTTATAAGAGAAATCCCCCTTTGGTACCAGTGAGAATTTTTCCTCTAATACAAACTGCAGTTCCAGAGGAGAGAGCCTTCTATTGTCTGCAATAGGGAAAGGAAGATTAAATTCTTCTTATGCTTGCTTGGAGGCAATAGTTAACCTTGTTTATTCAATTTGCAATTATATATATAATTGAATATATATTATATATTCAAAGGCTTATCTAATAACATGTCTGCAAAATGGTACCAGCAGATGCTACAAGTTAGGCCCTCAATCTGTGGTCAGATACAAACCGACAGCGTAGTTCAGTGGTTAGCAGGCCAGATCTAGGGTTCAGTTTCTGTTCAGTCATGGAACAGTCTGATCATCTTGGACTAATAGCTATTTTTCACCTTAAAAAGGTGGGTGTGAGAATTAAAAACAAAAGTTTTTAATTAGCTCTTTGGAAGAATGGTGGATACCTATCTGATTAACACACTGTAATACTATTTTTCTAGTTTTAATATTAAGTGCTGTAGTTCAATAACAGTCTGTATTTCATGGAGGTGGTGAGAGTTATACACTGACAGAAATGCAAGGCGCTAAGTTGCAAGGCGCTCAATTTTATTTTAGTTTCAGCTATATAAAGGATTAACTTAACGCATTTCTTTGCAGAAGAGCCAACCAGCTTTGCAATGATGCAGTCCTGATATCTCCTCTTGTGAAAGTGGATCATCTGATACCAAGCTGCTAACACAAAAAGGACTTGTTGACTTTCCATGATGTGACAGTTCCTGGGTTGACAGTAGAATTCCCAGCCAGAATGCTACTGATGGGGGATTCTGGGAACTGCATCAGCAATGCATTTGTAGAGAAAACTGTTCTTACCCAATGAGTTTATTTCCTCTGAGCCCCACTATTTCTGTTAATCAGAAATATCAAGGATTAATCTGCAGCTTTCTCCAGTAAAATAGGGCTGGGTTACCTGTAGTCCTGAAGAGGTTTTTGGTTCTCCCTCCCTTCTGCTGAACATTGGCAGCATGGTTTTCCACCATTCTGAGATAAGAAACACAGAAAAACTGCAGTGTAAGCCCTAAAAGGGACTTAACAGTTTAAAAAACATCCACTTACAAACATTTACCCTCACCTGGTTTGGGTTGTTGCCTCACTCACTGCATCCCTCAGGCTTTCAAAAGATGCAGTCCTCTCCCCTCACCCCCGGCCAGTCGTTCATCTTTTGTTATAAAGCAAATACACCATAGTACGGTATGTACAGTTACCGTATATGGACTGAAAAGATCTATATGATCCTTAGATGGCAACAGACAGATACAGAAATTTCTAAATATTTGCTGCCAATCTAGTGATCTTACTAATTTTTGCAATCCACATCTAGTAGCCCCCAACTTTTTGGATTATCATGGTGGACAAACCCAAGCCATTAAATAAAACCCTGTATTAACTATACCATATAGTCTAAAATACGATTATTAGTTTGTGGGTT